TAAAAAAGAAATATTCATTCAAAAAAATCAACTAAATCTTCGTAAAAACAGTGAGTCTATGACACCTGAGCCATGACCTGCTTCCTCCCTTCCAGCTCGTGCTCAGCTCCTCTGGAAGGAACATGCATTCTGGGCAGGTGTGGCCAAGACGATGGGGCTCCCCTCCCCTCGGCGAACCAGCAAGAGTACAGTATCTGAGGACAGCGGTGAGCGTGCAACATTTCTCATCGCCTCCACGTCTGGGCTGTTGAAACTAAACTCCTGGTGGGTGCAGCCAGCAGCACCCTACTATTCCTCTACTCACGGGGCTGAGGATGCACCCCAGGCACAGTGAGTGACCAACACTAGCGCCCCAGCTGCCCGCACCCCGCTTCCCTCAGAGGACAGCAGGTCCATGCTGGGAGGGGCAAGCTGAAAAGACCAGGGGCCCAGGCTTCCTCTAGTGGGAAGTTTGATCAAAGGCTACTCTTGGAAACAAGGAACACTCCGGTGGGAAGCAATTTAGAGGGGCTAGGTAACCCTATGAGCGACACAAGAGAGACCACAAGCCAGCAAGTTCGCCAGAGAGAACCAGGAAAAGAAGCAGTGAAGAAGAGTCCTTTTAGGGTCACAGAAAACCTGAAAGACTGGCCACAAAAGCTATCCCTGCAGATTTAGTTCAATCAGACCATGGGGCGATTCATGCGCAAGCGCATTATCAACAAGAGAGCAATGAGCTGGCCTTGAGTAGGCTTGACAGCCGGTCTGGTACCAGCGGAGACAGGTGGAGGAACAGAGCGATTAGGGAGAGAGACAGAAAGCTCTCCTGCAAGTGGTGTCACCCCAAGACTTCGTGCACACAGGAGCCTGCACCCTGTGAGGAGCGCCCGGGGAGTTCACAACGCAGGGGACCCAGACACCCCCGGAAGAGTCTAGCCAAGACAGTAAACACACGCAAGCCTCCTACACCAAGCTGAACTGGAGTGACCAGAGCGGATACCCTTGCCTTATTTCTGTCCACGGGAGCAAGGCTTTCAGTCTTTTGTCATGAAGCATGGCGCTAGCTGTGGGATTTCTCACCGGGTTATGGAGGGTTCTTTCTAGTTCCAGTCTGTTGAGTGTTTTTATTATGAGAGGGTGTTCAGTGTTGTCACATGTTTTCTTTGAATCTCTTGTGCTGAGATACTGTCTCCAGAGCTTTCTTTAATTCTCTAAGTGTGATTTCCTTCAATTCTTTAAACATACGTATCATTGCTGCTTTCGAATCCAATATCCAGCACCTCTCGCAGGCTGTTCCTGTGGCCTGATTTTTTTTCAGTATGTGGGTCACCCATTCTTGTGTCGAGGTAGGTCTTGTAGTTCTTGTGAAAAACTGGGCAGCTGAGGTAATATAGTGTAGCTAGTCTGCATACTGATTCCCCTTCTGCTTTTCTAGGCCTTGCTTTGCCGTCCTTTGCATGTCAATAAGAATACAGAAATTATTGAGACGCCTGGGTGGCTCAGTCAGTTAAGCATCTGCCTTCGGCTCAGGTCATGTTCCCAGGGTCCTGGGATCAAGCCCCGTATCAGGCTCCCCGCTCAGTGGGGAGCCTGCTTCTCCCTCTCCCTCTGCCTGCCACTCCCCTGCTTGTACACTCTCTCTTTATCTCTCTCTCTCTCTGAAAAAAAAATAAATAAAATCATTTTTAAAAAAGAATGCAGAAATTATTTTTAGGACAAAATAGAAATTCTGCAATTGAAAAGTATAATGACTGAAATGAAAAATTGTACTAGTAGGGCTCAATGATAAATTTGAGCCAGTAGAAGAAAGAATCGGTGAATTTGAAGATGTAATAGTTCTAAACATACGTGAACTTCACAATCAAGACCTCAAACACACAAAACAAAAAATAACAGAAGTCAAGGACAAATAGACAATTCAACAATAAGCTGCAGGCTTTAATACCCCACTTTGAACAATGGGCACAGCAACTAATCAGAAGGTCAAAAGAGAAAGAGAATATGTGACCAAGACTATAAACCAACTGGGCTACCACTGGAACGCCCTACCCACAAAGTAGAATACACATTCTTTTCATGCACACAAGGAATGTTTTCCTAAATATGATCAATAGGCCATAAAATGAACCTCAATAAATTTAAGAGGCTTGAAATCATACAGTGTGATGGGGATAAGTTCTTTTACAACAGCCTTGGCAATGATTTTTTGGATTTGACCCCAAAAGCAAAGGCAATGAAAGACAAAATAAATAAATGGAATAACATCAAACTCAAAGCTTTTGCACAGTAATGGAAACCATCAACAACATGAAAAGGCAATCCACTGAATGGGAGAAAATGTTTGCAAATCATATATGTGGTAAAGGGTTAATATCCAAAATTCATAAAGAACTCATATCATTCAACATCAAAAAACAAGCAATTCAAGGGATGCCTGGGTGGCTCAGTCAGTTAAGCATCTACCTTCAGCTCAGGTTATGATCCCGGGGTGTGAGATCAAGCCCCACATCAGGCTCCCTGCTCAGTGGGGAGTCTGCTTCTCCCTCTGCCCCTCCCCTCCACTTGTGTTCTCTCTCCCTCAAATCAATAAATACACTCTAAAAAAAAAAAACACCAATAATAAATTCAATTTAAAAAATGGGCAGAGGAACTAAATAGACATTTTTCCAAGGAAGACATACAAATGGCTGATAGGTACGTGAAAAGGGATTCAGTGTCACTATCATCAGGGAAATGCAAGTCAAAATCACAATGAGATCTCAGCTCATGCCTGTCAGAATGGCTGTCATCAAGAATACAAGAGACAACAAGGGTAGGCGAGGATGTGGAGAAAAGGGGACCCTTGTGCACTGTTGGTGGGCATGTAAATTGGTGCAGCCACTGTGGGAAACAGTATGGAGGGTCCTCCAAAAATTATAGCTAGAATTACCATGTGATCCAGTGTGGGAATACAATCACGGGTTACTAAGTTATAGGACCGCATAGCCCAGCAGAGACCTGCTTTCTGTCTTGTTGAAAACAACAGGACATGCTTCGCTTATCTAGAAAAGGCTCTACCAGATTTGGGGGATTCGTAGGCTTGCCTGCTTTTGCCTTACCTATAGAAAACTCATCTCCAGAAATAGTAAAGTCTACCCTTTGAATTGCCTAAGATTAATTGCTTTGTTTGCTTCAAGAACCTTGTAACCCCCTGCTCTGCATTTTCCCTGAATTCCTATGATGTATGTTACTTTGTTACCTGAAGTCTTTCTATTAATAAACAGGAGAGTCTAGGAGTGGCTCCGGGACTCTATCCTCAGGCTCCATCTCACCTCTCTTGACTGATCCGTAGTCTGGAGTAATTATTTCTGCCACCGTGGGTTTTGCTGGTCGAAGCCCACAAGATAAGAGTCGGAACCCTCAACCCAACAATCCCACTACGGGGTATTTCTCCAAAGAAATTGAAAGCAGAGTCTCGAAAAGATACCTGGACTCCCATGTTCACTGCATTATTCACAACAGCCAGACCTGGAAACAACCTAAGTGTCCATCTGTAGATGAATGGATAAAAATCTATCTATCCATCTATAATTTAATATAATATTAATATAATTTATTTATAATGATATATATATATAAAATTATTCGTCCACAAGAAAGAAGGACGTAGTGCCATTCGCAACAACGTGGGTGGAACAGGAGGGCATTATCCTAAGTGAAATAAGTCGGACACAGAACGACAAATACTGTATGATATCACTTTTCCATGGAATTTTAAAGAACCAAACTCACAGAAATGGAGAGTGGACTGTTGGTTACCAGAGGCTGGAGGAAGGGAAATGGGGAGACATTGGTCAAAGAGTACAGAGTTCCAGTTATAAGATGAGCAAGTTCTGGGGGTCTAATGCACAGCACAGGGGTTAGAGTTAATACTACTGGATCATACATTAAAAGTTGCTAAGAGAATAGTTGATCTTAAATGTTGTCACTAAAAAAAAAAAAGCAATGGCAATGATGTGATGTGATGCAGCTGTTATTTAATAAATACTACAGCGGTAAGCATTTCGCAATATATAAGTGTATCAAATCAACACATTGTGCCCTTTAAACTTACACAGTGTTACAATTCACTTATATCTCAACAAAGCCGGCGGAGGCGGGGGGCACCGGTGGAGGGTAGTGGGTTGGCGCTCCTCACTAGAGAGAATAAGCTAGCAAGAATGGGTAAAAATCAGACCCCAACCAATTAGCTTCAGATGAAGTTAACTCCAGAAAGTTTGAGTTAGGCAGGATCACAGAGGGCATTAATGACCTAGCCCGGTCCGGGGCCCATTACCACCATATGCTGTTGCGGCCTTCTCTCCACACAACGGGGGGCTATTTACTCACCTCTCTCATGACCCTCCTGAGAGAAGAAACAGAAACTCGGGTCAGAGAGACCAACTGAGGCTAGACTAAGCCTCGTATGAAAGATCTCCTTCCTCTTCCTGCTGTCTGATCTTTAATGACTGGAAAAGTCCTCCTTTCCTTTAAGAATGACGGGCCTGGCAGATAGGACCGTGCTGGTGACCTTGTCCAACCTGATGTCCAGTCGAGGGAAGGAGACTCTCAAGAGGCCATTTCATAGGCCAACACCTATAAAAAAAAAAAAAAAAAGGCAACTGGAGGTAAGATTGGTGGGCAGAGGCTGGAACTGAAACAGGCCTCAGAAATCTCAACTGCTCTTCTCTGAGGTTACAGCCCGAACTGGGGATAAGGTGGGGGGGTCACAGGGACCTTTGGAAAACATCGCCACAGTCCAAAGCAGGGGTTGGGTTTCCCATCGGAAAGGCTGGCCATGGTCCTGTCCCTTTAAATTGTCACCCTCCCTCCGGGGGCTCTGAGCTCTGAGAGGCTAGGACACTTCCTCCCCTTGCTGGGAGGGGCAGCCTCCTGTGCTCACAGCCAAAGGCAAAGCACTAGGCCAGGGGCCTCTCCGCCACCCTCAGAGCCTGTCACCACTGCTGCGGGAAAGGTGAGCCCACAGGGCAAGGGGGTCGCCTGGGGAGTGGGAGCTGTGAGGACTTGGGGGCCTGTGTGAGCTCACTGAGCGAGCACCTGCCTTCTACTACCTTTGAGGAAGGGGAGCAGGGTCTAGAAAGGGTAACTTCACACTTCACACTTCCAGGCTTGGAAGGATGCTCTGACTTTCAAACAAAGTAATTTCAGAAGAAGTGCTAAGCATCTTCTCCAGCCGTGGCCCGCACACACTCCTATCTGGGACGAAATCCTTTCTCCTTCCCTACTCCCTGACTAGTAAGGAAGGTGTTTGCTAGAAGGACTTCAGGAGCAGAGCACACTGGGGAAGCCGGCAGACACTCCCCGAGGGCAGATGCAGCAAAGCCGAAAGATATTTCTGAGGACAAAGAAGGCAGTCTACCCTCAGATCGTGGTACAAAGCGAAAATTATGTCTGTGAGCTGGATCCTCCTCAAACACTCCACCTCCTCAGCCCTGTGTGCGACAGGGACTAGCAGGAGCCAGCGACCATGACGAACACCGTCTTCTAACCCTTGCCCTACATGTGCCCTTACACTTCTCTCCCCCCAGCCCGAGCCGCCCAGGGCTCCGTGGGCTCTGAGCCCGCTTCATACCCTCATCCCCACTGGAAATGAAGGGCTTGGACGGGGTGAATGGCTCAGAAACTCAGAGCACCCACCAAAGGCATTAGAATCACTCGGGGGTGGGGCGAGACATACCTTTTTTTGTTTTGTTTTTTTAAGTACAGATCTGTGAATCCAAATGTCAAAGAAATAGATATATTTTAAAGAATCCTTAGACATTGCCAAAAGATAGCAGGTTCAAAAGCGCTGGACTAGATAAAGCATCTACCATCCCATTTAAGATAACGGGAGTCTCCATGTTTTACATTCTTCAATGACTACACACCTCTGTAACCCAGGATTTCAGCTCTCAGAAACTCTGGAGGAACTCTCCAAATCCCAATCCAAACCCTGTCAGAGGCTCCAAAGGGCCCAGGAGTTCCGAGAATATTCTAGAGCACAATCTCTCATCTCCAGCATGGACAAGGACTTCTGGCTTTAGCTAAATGCTTGTTCTTTGCACTGAATCTTCCGGCTGTTTCTTCACTTCCGCTCTGCGGTCAGTTATGGGAGTTTGCTGATTTGTATGCACAAGATCACTCATCACCTAAGGCCTGTGGGGTGACCTTTACTGAGGGCTTTGGGGGGGTGGCAGGGGTGTTACTGCAGAAACACAAAACACTTTGGACTGAGTACCAGGCAAACCTGTCACCTGAGTCCTCTGGCCAGAGACAAGTTCTCCAGCAGCCCCGCCCTCTGCTTTTCCTCATGTGGTGCCCACGGGACAGAACACGGTCACGCACAGTCAGCAGGTGTCGCCATGAAGAGGTAGACATGAACTGGATGGGGAGGCACAGACAGGACTCAGACACGTGCGAGAGAATCAGTGGTCAGAGGAGCAAGCACACAGGTGGGAAAGGAAAGGTGCTGAAACCCGCTCTCTGCCGAGCAGCTGGCTGAGTAGGGGGCGAGCGGGAAACGGGGCTGGGGAGGCAGACGGAGGACGGGCTGCGTGCCTGTGTCCAGGCTCTCGTGTGCTCAGACGAACGTCATCACGAGGTGTTTAACTGTATTAAACCATGTCGGAATTGGGTATCATCACTTACTCTGAGAGGCCTCAGATTTGGGGCAAGACCATCAGGAGCTGGAGGGCAGTGGCCCGTCTCCCCAGGCACACAGATCAAACTTAGACCAATGATACAAGCCCAGTTACTCGGTTTTCTGAGAGCAGATCACAGGCTCTTCAGATCAGCTTGGGAGGGATGTTTTCTTTCCAATTTCCAAAAACAAAATGCAAATTCTCTTCTTGTTTTTGCCCCAGGCCAACTGCCCTAAGGCGGTTCCTAAGTCACTGAGCAAATTTTCGGATTCTCAGGGTTTTCCAAAGTCTCCCCTGGCTGTGGAATCTCCTGGGAAAACTCAGAACCTACAGCTAATGTCACTGACACAGAACCACCTGGGAAAACATCAGCATCTAAAGCTCACTCTCTGACACAGAGGACCTGCTATCATCTGCCCTCTGCTTTTTGCATTCGGGGTCCCTGAAAAGTCACCAAATGTTCTCCCGGTATCATTCCAACGCCAGCCAGGTCCTTCCAGGGTTCTTCCCTAGATGCTGCTGTCAGGGGAAGGCAGGAGCCTGGACCTTTTCACTGGGGTGCCACCAGCGTTTTGGACCTTGCCTGACCCACATAGGTAGTTATACCTATTTGATGAATGAATGAATGAATGAATGAATGAATGAATGAACAAATTGTTTTTGGGGCTCTTTCAGGCAAATGGGAGGACGGAAGATGGCAAGGGATGAAGAAAATGCCTATGGTAAGAATTTCCTCGCGGTGTGTACTGGCCTCAGGTGTCAGCTCTGGGGAACAAGGGGATGCGCTAAGTCAAAACAACAGACACAAATCCCAGAGGTGTCTCCATGCTGGGCTGAAACAGCAAGAGCCCAGATTTGCCTTTGTGCTGCATCTCTGCCCCTGCCCTACGGTGAGATATTAAGTGCTTTGACTAGCCTGTGCCTCCCAACCCAGAGGGTAAACCGAGGATAAGAAATCTACTCTGGGGGCGCCTGGGTGTCTCAGTCGTTAAGCGTCTGCCTTCGGCTCGGGTCATGATCCCAGTGTCCTGGGATCCAGCCCCGCATGGGGCTCCCCGCTCAGCGGGAAGCCTGCTTCTCCCTCTCCCCCCCTCCCCGTGTTCCTGCTCTCACTGTGTCTCTCTGTCAAATAAATAAATAAAATCTTTCAAAAAAGAAAAAAAAAGAAATCTACTCTGACCCCCACAGAAGAGGAGGTGGAGGGAATGAGATCATGGACTAGAGGGAACACGATTTACCAGGTAGACTGCGCTACAGAACAAGGATGGGGGCTTAACAGGTATCTTCTGGGCAGCAGGTGTAAGAGCTAGGGAGGAGGAGGGGAAGAGGGAAGGAGGGAAGAAGGAAAGAGACCAGCTCCCCTAATCCTCTGAGCAACCCCGGGAGAAACAACTCTCTGTCACCACTCCCATCTGTGCAGAAGAGGTTTAACACTCAGATGGGGCAACTTCCCCACGGTGACACGGCGGGCACACGCTGGGGCTGTGATTCCAACGCGCGGTGGCCGGGACTGCAGACAGCCCTTCACTCCCGGGCCTCCGTGCCCTCCCGCCTCTCCTGGCTGCGACGCTGGGACGGCGCCTGGGAGAAGCATCCCAGAGGCCAGGGCAGGCGTCCAGCAGCAACAGGTCTGCAGCGCGTGCGTGCCCAGAGATCACGTCCGCGGGGTCCGGGCCTGCCGTCACGGAGGGGTGCCCTCCAGAGACATGCGCACCAGCTGCTGCAGCGGGGACAGGGGCCTGTGCTGAGGCCAAAGACGGAAGACACACGGGGACAGACGCCGCGGGGCGCAACGAGCTCCGACCAGACCCCTAGGGAGGGCTCGGTGGGAGAAGCAGAAGCCCAAGGCCTGGTGCTCTGCCGTGTTCCACAGGCGCCCCCGGGCCCGCGGGAGCGGGACGCGGGTCCGAGGCGGGCAGCCCACGCCTTCTGTGTCCTCACAGGTCCCGAGGACCCGGACGACGCGCCGCCCGCGCACGAGCCCCAGCTCAGGCTCGTCCTGGCCGGCAAGACCGGCGCGGGCAAGAGCGCCACGGGCAACAGCATCCTGGGCCACAGGCGCTTCCCGTCCAGGCTCGCGTCCACCCCGGTGACCAGGACCTGCGCCCTGGGGAGCCGCCGCTGGGCCCGCTGGCGCGTCGACGTCACCGACACCCCGGACCTCTTCAGCGCCGACGGCCGCCGCGCCGACCCGGACTGCGCCGAGCGGGGCCGCTGCTACCTGCTGTCGGCGCCCGGGCCGCACGCGCTGCTGCTGGTCACCCAGCTGGGCCGCTTCACCGCCCAGGACGAGCAGGCCGTGCGCGGCGTCCGCCAGCTCTTCGGGGCCGGCGTCCTGGCGCGGGCCGTGCTCGTCTTCACCCGCGGGGAGGACCTGGAGGGGGCCTCGCTGCACGACTACGTGCGCGACACCGACAACCGCGCGCTGCGGGCCCTGGTGGCCGAGTGCGGCGGCCGCGTGTGCGCCCTGAGCAACCGGGCCGCGGGCGCGGCGCGCGACGCGCAGGTGGAGGAGCTGCTGGTGCTGGTGGAGCGGCTGGCGCGCGAGCACGCGGGCGCGCCCTTCACCAACGCCGTGTACGGCCTGGCGGAGGCCCTGCGCCACGCGCCCCCCGACCTCCGGCTCCGGCGGGTGGCGCAGCGGCTGGCGGCCGGCGGCCCGGGGCAGGGGCGGCGCTGGCTGGAGGTGGCGCCGCGCGGGGGTTGGCGGGCGCTCTTGCTGCTCGGCGGCGCGCTGCTCCTCGGCCTGCTTCTCTGGCGCCTCAGACCCAAGGCCTTGCGGGAGGTCAGTCCCGACTGACGGTCCAAGGAGGACTTGGGCCCGTCGACTGAGGGTCACTTCGCCGCTCGTGCGGTGTGCCTTCGGGGCCCACAGGCTCTTCTTTCCTCCTTTCCTGGCGGGGATCAGCTAGGCAGCGTCCCGCCAGGGCCGGGCTCCCGCAAAACCTTCCCCTGGGACGTGGCCCTCCCAGGAGCTGCCCTTCCAAGAACTGGGAGCCTGGACTGAAAGGCACGAAGTACGTGGCGCCGAGGGGGAGGAAAAGCTCTTTCCCGCATGCTCAGCTCCGAAACACCACACCTCCTACAACCATCCCCTTGGGCACTGAGTTTTCAACACATGAAACATACTGGGGGCACACCAACCGACCGAAGCAGACACGACCCTCCCTCCTCCCTATCTGGTTCTTACATACGGCTACATGTCCGCCTTTGGGGTCCTTCTGGGTTTTATTATTCTCTGTGAAAGAGATGTCAGGTTCATGCATGTTAATATTTACTTCTGATTAATCAGTCTATTTACTTTACAATAATTTACTGCCAAAAAGACAAATGTAACTATACTGAAAATAATATTTCCCAATTTTCCAGTAGTGATTGTGGTTCCCGTCTCACCAAAGTGAAGTACACATTTGGGTAGTGTCTTCAATGTGGGTATTGATCTGGACTTTTATGCAAACAAAACAAAACAAAACAAAACAACCCAGGCTCTTCTCAGGCAATGGAAAGGAGCGGGAGCTGCGGGCCCACCCGCACAAGGCCTCAGAGCATCTGAAATTAGGAGGGTATGCTGGTCCTGTAGAGTTTTTGGGGGTGGGCCAGCCCAGGAAAGTGCTTGTACGCCACATCATTAGAAAATCAGATGCCATCCTTGGGTTGTGTCACCAACTGATAGGATTTCCTTATTTCTATTTCAGAATGTGACAAAACACTTTAGAGGAAGTCCTTCTCTTTAAATCAGCCAAGCTCTAGTCCAGATTGGACGCCAGAGGAGACACCTCCTCACCTGGCCCAGGGTTCAGGGGTGGGGAAAGAAGGAGGTTGTGAGAGGGGCCCTAGAGCCATCCCAGCTCCACCTGGAGAAGCAGGGGCCTACACACCACACCTGTGCTCAGATGCCCCTGGTTAATGGGGTAGCAGGATAGACATCGGGGTGAGCTGCGGTCATGGGGCCTCAGGCCCCTGTGGCAGTGAGCTGGGCTCTATGATGCGTGGCTGGGCAAAATTCTATTAGTGATCCCCCTCTTTAGCATCCTCAGCAGCCCCGCCAGGTTCACACAGGGGCTCTGAGCTAGGGATTCAAACAAGCTCTAACAAGATGAAGGAGCAACTTGGCAACCCAAGGGGCAGCAGGGAAGGGGCTGGGGTTGAGGGGATGGCCGGCATCCCCAGCTTGGCCTTCCGGGGCCGCATGTGCATGAGCTCCCACTATTGGCCAAGGCTGCTGCCCCTCTTGATAGGGGGTTCCCAATAAGGAATATTTGCTTTCTTCAAAGCCAGCAGGAGAAGCTCTTGCTTTTCAAACTTTTTTGATTAGGTCAGGCCCACCTGGTATAATCCCCCTTTGACTAACCTAAAACCAGCATTTAGGGACCTTAATTCCATGGCAGAGTCCCTTCACCTTTGCCATGGGAAGTGGCCTCCATCCTATTCACAGGTCTGCCCATGCTCAAGGGAAGGGAATAGTCCAGGACATGTACACCAGGAACAAAGGGAGCTTGGGGCCCATCTCAGAATTCTGTCTACCACAACCATATAGATAGGTTAAAAGTCAAAGGATGGGTAAAGAAAATACCATGAAAACACTAATGAAAAGAAAGCTGAATCACTATATTAATAGAAAAATAGGTTACAAACAAGGAATATTAGCAAAGAAAAGCACGCCCGGCTGGCTCAGTCAGTTAAGCAACTGACTCTTAGTTTCAGCTCAGGTCGTGATCTCAGGGTTGTGAGATGGAGCCCCACATTGGGCTCTGACTCAGCATGAAATCTGCTTGAGATTCTCTCTCCCTCTGCCCCACTTGCTCATTATCTGTCTCTCTCTCTCTCGAATAAATAAATAAATTTTTCTTTAAGAAAAAGATACAGACATTACAGGAAGATAAATATGTCAACTTACTAGGAAGACTTCCTAATCCTAAAAATGTGTGCACCTAAAACTTCTTCAAAATACATGAAGCAAAATCTAAACAAATCAAAAGGATAGATAAATCCAAAAGTATACTTGGAGACTTTAACCTCCTTTCTTAGTATTCAGTAAAACACATAGACAGAAAATCAGTAAGAATACAGGAGGCATAAAGCTGGACACTTTCCCCTTAAGGTCAGGAAAGGCCAGGATGTCCACCCTGATCACTCCAGTTCAACATCCCATTGGACATCCAGCCAGTGAAATGAGGCAAGGAAAACAACAACAACAACAACAACCAAAAACACAAGTCATAAAAAGTGGAAAGGAAATAATAAAGCTCTCTTTATTCAGAGATGACATGATTATTTATGCAGAAAATCCCAAAAAGGGAAAAAATATTCCAGAACTAATAAATTAGCTTAGCAAGGTAGGAGAATGCAAGGTCAACATGCAAGGATCGATTATTAGCAATGAACCATTGGAAATTGGAATGAAATCATCAGTACTCTTATAATAGCATTAAAAACCATGAACTACTTTGGGATAAATCTAAGATTTTAATGCTGAAAACTACAAATGTTGATGCGAAAAATCAAAGAAGACCTAAATAAATGGAGAGAGAGCCTATGTTTGTGGGTCAGAAAATTCAATATTATTAAGATGTCAATCCTCCCCTAATTTCATCAACAGAGCAACGCAATCTCAGTCAAAATCCGAGTGGGATTTTTGGTAGATATTCACAAGCTTCTTCTAAAATGTATGCAAAAAAACAAAGAACTAAAACTATTTTGAACAAGAAAAAGTTGGAGGATTCACACTCCCTGATTGCAAGATGTACTATAAATCTACGCTCCTCATAACTGTGTGTAACAAATAGTATTGTCAGGGCCTCTGGCTTGAGGAGTAGTCACAGTTCATCCATAGTGGGCTGCATCTGCTTGGCTGCACAGCGGGCTACAGTCTCCTTGTCTTCGCAATCTCTCGGAGGATCGCCTGTGATACACATCGCATTCTGGTTTCATGCCTGTTCAAAGATAGAACTGTTTTCTTTCTCTTCCATTTTAATGGGGAGGTTTTCCAAGTTGGCAAGAGATTGTTTTAAATTATATTCCCCCCAAAATCGCAGACAATGATGATTAGGTGACTCTGAGCCTACCTTCCAATATGAACAGAAAGGAATCTGGAGATTCTCTAGGACAAGACAGGGCCCTGCCTAAGCACGTGTTGTGTTCTGATCTTGCTTTGCAACGTAGCTGGTTTTGCTTATTTGTTTAATTCTAATTCCAGTGTAGTTAACATACAGTGCTATGTGAGTTTCAGGTGTTCAATACAGTGATTGAACAGTTCTAAACGTTACTCACTGCTCATCGCCATAAATGGATTCTGAATCCCCATGACCTATTTCACCCACTCTCCACCCACCTCCCCTCTGGTAACCATCAGTTTGTTCTCTATGGTTAAGAGTCTGTTTCTTGGGTTATCTCTTCGTTTTCTTTGTTCATTTGTTTCCTTCCTTAAATTCCACATATGAGTGAAATCATAGGGTACTTGTCTTTCTCTGACTTATCTTATTTGCCTTACACCCTTTACATCCGTCCAGGTTGCAAATGGCAAGATTTTGTTTTTATGGCTAAGTAATGATCCATTGCATATATACCAGATCTTCTTCATCCATTCATCTATTGCTTCCGTAGTGTGGCTCTTGTAAATGGTGCTGCAAATATAGTAAGTTGTCTTTCAGTTTTGTGGATTGTTTCCTTTGCTGTGCAGAAGCTTTGTATTTTGATGTGGCCCCAACAGCTCCCTATGGCAGGGGAAACAAACACAAAGTAATTGTTTTATATTCACCACTGTAGCCTTAACTGTGTGATCAGTAGACAAAAAGAAGAGCCACAGACTCCCAACCCTCCCCGCCCCACCCCCCCCATCCCCAATAAATGGGCCCAGAAGCTCCAGACCCCTAAAGCCCCTTAGGGCTGGTTTGTCAGAGGACAGAGAAGGGGCAGCCAGCACAAGGGGTCTGGCAAGTCCTTCAAATCCCGTGCTTAGAGCTGTTCTTTCAGCCCCTCTGTGGACCAGCACAGCCTTTCTGTCCCTGGTAGGCAGGAGCATTCTAGAAACAGAGCCTTGACCAGGGGCCTGGGGAGTCCCGCGGGGCAGGTGCTCCTGCCATAGGGGCTGAGGGGAGTGGCTGGCGCCCCACTAGGTCATGGGGGCGTTTCTTAACCTGGGGGGCCCATCACTGCCTTCAGAGCCTCTACCTCCACGTCCTGCTTATTTCAAGGAGTCCTAAAAAGGAAATGGGAGGAGGCATGGCGACCCTGGCAGGCTGGGGCAGGAGTTGACCCCTTAAGGGAGCCACATGCCCCTTGCTCCCTGCTCTCCCGGTGCTGAGGGCAGCAGTTCTGCCGCGGACCCCGGGGGTCTGTCCTGGTCGGAGCCGCGGGCCGTGCTCCCTAAGCCCCTTTGCCTTCTGGCCCCCAGGCCCAGCCCTGGAACCTAAGGCTTCACTCGCAGCTCCTCCCCAGCCGCACCGCCACCCCCGCTTCCTGCTGCACCCTCGCCGCCTGGAGAGCAGCCCCGAGAACCTGCAGCCGCCCCGAGAGCCGCCCGCCCGCCCCCCAGAGCCGCCTGCGCCCCGAGAGCCGCGGGGAGAGCCGCCCGCTGCCCACCGCCCAGAGCTGCCTGCGCCCTGAGAGCAGCCTGGGGAGCCGCCGTCCAGCACGGAGCCCGCAGCGCTGCGCCTGGTAAGGGGAACCCGGTGCGGGTCCCAGCATCTCTGGGGGTCTGAGGGCCCCGGGTCTGGCCCCAGCTGGGGACTCTGCTGTGATCTCACCCAGGCTACCGCCCTTGTGGGTTCGCCCCTCAGTGGACCCGGCCGGGGATGGTCAGAGTTTCGTGCACAGTGCACTCGGGTGGCCGGGAAACAGGCTGGGAACCTCTCACCCTGTGCTCACAACCCAGCGATTTCATGACGGAGTCTTCTCCGTCCAAAAGGTCTGTCTGGGAGAAGAAGATGGATTCTCAGGGTTCCAAATGGCAAATATGGAATCATTATTTTCTCACCACCCATGAACCCAACCTTTCAAAGGAGACTCCTCAGGGGGCGTTGTCTCATGACTCTGATCTGGAAGCCCTTCCATTCTCTCCCAAATCCCCCCGCCCCCCATTTCCTGTGACCTGAGGAGGGACTCTATTCTAAGGCAAACGGACTATGCTCAGGACATATGGGAACAATCCTTTTGTCTGTTAACCCTTCAGTGAAAGACACATCACAACATCACAATGACTAAAGTACCCAACAAGTGTCACTCATACCAGGAAATATAGGGACTCCGCAGATGAGTGAAGGAGATACTTATGAATAAGGCAGACGAGAAGTATTTTTATCCTTCTTAGAACAGCATTAGAGAAGCTGCTTTCTCAAGTTTGATAAAATAAAAACTAAAATCAGGCTCATATAATTTAAAAATCAGAATGTACATTATGTTTCTTTGCCTGAAACTCTCACCTAAGCTAGATCCTCCTACTATCCCTGTCTGATGTTGTCATAATCTCTGCTTGCTCGCTGCTTGCCACTCTCTGCTCACACCTGGTCCCATTTTGGAGGAGATGAGGCAGAATTTTCCTTTTGGAGGAGAAATCTGCCTCCATTCCCTATTCTCTGACTTTTGCCTGCTCTGAGATTGACACATACCACATTCCTTCAGCTATGGGTGCTTCCCCCAGTCTTTTCTGATGCTTTACCATCCTGTTACTATTTTGTCTACGACTCATTTATAGCTTTTCTGTCAATATCATTTCTGACTTGCCTCTGGACATGTTCTTTTTTAAGATTTTATTTATTTGTTTTGTTTTAGAGAGAGCATGCGCCCAGGCAGGGGTGGGAGGATGAGGGAGAGAATCTCAAGCAGACACCGCACTGAGTACCGAGTCAGGCAAGGGGCTTGATCTCAAGACCCTGAGATCATGACCTGAGCCAAAATCAAGAGTCGGACCCTTAACCAACTGAGCCACCCAGGCGGCCCTGGACACTCTCTTATCTGTTAATATCTGCCTAAAAATCTATCCCTCAGGGGGAACGTATGTCTCCCCCTGCAGTCTGACCACTCAGAAGATGGCTCAGGAGAACCACCTGGGCTGCATCTCAGCTAATGTAACCTGAGGTTCACTGGCATTTTGTGTCAGCCACATTGCTCCATTTGGCTCTCACTTAATCAAGTCGAAACATCAGATTGTTTTAAACTGAAATGCTTCAATTCAGAGCAACTCCTTCCTCCTGCAATTTTATTTTTGAATAATCTTAAAAAAAAGGAAAAAAAAAAACATGCACTCAAGGTTTTGCAATACAATTCTCTGTGTTGATTTTAAGGCAGGCTTCCAGCCTGTCAACATCAGTTTATGTCCTGACTGTGGATGGTAACATTGTATGTGGTGTTCCAAGAGGCTTGTGGACCTGTTTAGAATAATCTCTTTTACCCCCTGTGGAATCAAGAATATGCAGGCCAAGGAGCACCCGCCCTTTTTTTAATCTTTAGCTCTGTGGCAATCTGGTGACCTTGGGCAGGTCATTTGATGTCCAATTTCCTAATATGCAAATAGACATTTCAACACCTATTTTGATCACATCACAGGGAATTTAGAAGGACAATTAGAATCAGGGACAGGAAAGAACTTTGAAGGTTACAGATGGCTGCAGAGAGGATGCTTCCGATGATGAAGCCCATTGTCAACATCCTCACCTCTATCATGGTCTTTATCACATGAATTGATTGATTCCAGCATATTTTCTGAGGTTCCCAAACCTCAGAAAATGTCATCCAAAGTACAAAAGATGTCAGAGAATTTGAGCAGTTTTAGCAGAAGCCGGATAATTGACCAGAGGCTAGGACAGCCCATGGAAAAGGGTGAGGAGAATGCTCTTCTCAGCGCTTAAGGAAAGGAGGGAGCGGAGGAAAGGAAGAAAGGAAACAAAGGAAAGAAGTTGTCTTAATATATTCTGATAACCTGGAAGTGGATGGTGTCCCCCAAGGAGGGCCAAAAAAATCCACTGCATGAATGGAAGAAGGAGCAAAAGTTATTTCATTATAACAGAAGCAACCCGAATAACAAATAAACTAAGAAAAACATTTTTGATTCAATGGTAATTAGTAAAATGCAAGTTTAAACCAATTCAGATGTCCTTACTTACGCCCTTAAGAGTAGCAAAAAATTAAGTCTAATGTCACCAAGTTCAAGTGCAGGTTTGGGAATTCTCATCTGTGGCCGGTGCCAGTGGGAGTTCGCCCAACCATCCTGGGGTCATACTTGGCAATATCTAGTCAGGGGGCAGCTGTCTGTCCCAGGTAATTTGTTGCATGTGTGCGCCGGGGGACAGAAATGGGATTATTCTGCAGCATTGTTTGTAGAAGCAAGCATGTAGTTTGAAACAGCTTAAACGTTTGCTAAGAAATAATTGAGGGGCACCTGGGTGGCTCTGTCCATTAAGCGTCCGACTCTTGATTTCGGCTCAGGGCATGATCTCAGGGTTGTGGGATCGAGCCCCAGGTAGGGCTCCACGCTCAGTGTGGAGTCTGCTTGAGATTCTCTCCCTCTGCCCCTCTCCCCACTCCTGCTCTCTCTAAATAAATAAATAAAATCTTTGCAAAAATTGATAAAATGTTACATACATAACATCATTTATGTAAAAAGTTGCAAATAGAAAACCGTGCTATACATTATCTATAAAGACATGTGTATGTAGAAGTATAAATAGACAAACGAGAATGATCCATAAAATCCTCAGAATATTGGTTCCCTCTGAAGGACAGAGGGAGGGGGACTGAGACTGGGGAGCCGGAAAATGTAAATGGAGCTCTATGTGTAATGTTTCCACTTCTCGATCAAACAGAACAGCTGCAGCAGATGCTGAAATATTTACATTCGTTCATGGCAAATGGTGGCCATTTGTTGTATAACTTTGTGGACTTCACCACTTAAGGTGGTTTCATAACCACATCACCTTTAAAACTGAATAAATACAGTACAGCCTCAGAGCTCATCTTAATTACGGTTGCGTGTCTCGTGCACACTTGCCTCTTCTAACCCCAAGAAGAAGGACCCAATATCCTGCCTCATTCCAATGAAACTTTTATGCCAATGGTTGGGTCGATTTCTGGTTAAATCTGCTGGGATACAAAAATGATGATATTGGGAGACCAGGACCTCAGAGCCCACCAGGAAAGAAACTGGATTAAAATCTGAGCAGGCGATGAGGATGAGGTATCTTGAATTTGTCCTGAATGTTGATTCTTTCCCTTCAGTTATGGCACCACCTTCTCTCCACCAACTCCCTGATGGGGGGTGGGGTGGGGGTTGGAAGGGGTAAGGAAGGTGTCAGTGCTCGGCTCTCTAGCACTCTTTCCTCTGCTGTCAGTCCCTGAAGGAATCCTTGTCCCCGCTCTGCCCTCCCACTGGAAGGAAACTTGTGCTTTCCTCTTTGCCCCTGGAATATCCATCTGACACAGCTTCTGGGACTGGAAATTCTCAGTACTTCAGACAAACCAATGTCATTTACAGCAAGGCAGTTTTTTTTTTTCTATGTTCTAGCAAGTTCACCTACTTTGATTGCAAACGCTAATCATAATGTGCCACTCCTGGTTCCACAGAAGAATGGTTTTTTTTCATTTCATTTCAAGTTGGAGGGAGAGAATCAACTGATCTGTTTTAAAATATTTCCTGGGCGCCTGGGTGGCTCAGTTGGTTAAGCGACTGCCTTCGGCTCAGGTCATGATCCTGGAGTCCTGGGATCGAGTCCCGCATCGGGCTCCCTGCTTGGCAGGGAGTCTGCTTTGTCCTCTGCCCGTATCCCCTCTCATGTGTTCTCTCTGTCTCAAATAAATAAATAAAATCTTTAAAAAAATAAAATAAAATAAAATAAAATAAAATATTTCCTAATTTCCTGTAAGTTGCAAAAAAAAAAAAAAGCAACAAGTGCATTGCGTTAACATAAGCTAACTTCGCCTGGGGTTTGCCTAAAGTTAGTCATAGGTATTTGAAAGTATAATATGAGTTCAAAAACTAGCAATGAAAATGGCTCATCCTAGGATAATTATTCTTAGATGTCTGCATTAAAAGTGTTCTCAGGCTTTAGCAACTCCTATATGGACACTTGCTTTTATTCCTTTCCTGTTTTCTATTCCAGAAGAGGATGGAAGGGCTTCAGAGGGGCAGATACGGAACGATGGCTGAAGGTAAGGAAGCCTGGATGTTCTCAGGAGCTCCAGGCACCCAGGACAGTCGCCGTTCTCTCTCCATCAACTCCCACTTCAAACACAGGGATAGAAACCCTGTTATTTTAAAGTGAAGAAGAGGGGCATCTGGGTGGCTCAGTCGGTTGAGCGTCTGACTCTTGGTTTCAGCTCGGGTCATGATCCCAGGGTCCTGGGATCAAGCCCCGTGATATGCTCCCTGCTCAGTATGGAGTCTCCTTCATATTCTCTCTCTGTCTCCTTCTACCCCTCATACTCGTGCTATTTCTCTCCCTCTCTCTCAAATAAACAAATAAAATCTTTAAAAAAAATAAAAATTAAAAAAAAAAGGGAAGAAGAAAGAGGCAAAAATGACTTGTTCTCTACCTTCCCTGTGGTCATCACCCCATCCACTGTCACCCACACATGATTGGTGAGAAATGTGGAAGTGAAACTCCCAAGTCAGAGTCTGAAGGATTTGGAACCAGATTGTGAAAACAATTTCTCTTTCCCGGTCTGCTCCCAACTGGAAAGAGGAAAAGTTCCCGTAGAGATTTAGGAATCATGCTTGTTACCAATACTTAAGGAAAGGAAGAACCAACACAGTAGAAGGATAAAGTAAGAGATTTTAGGAGGCTGAAATGAACTTAATTCATTTGAACTCATAAGAACTCTAAAAGTCCTGGGGTTCTCACCCGCCTTCACCCCTTGAAGATTTTACTCTTGGCTCAGTGTCACCCTCCCCCACACCATTCTGTAGTCATCTCCTGCGATTCGGTCAGCCAGATCTCTCCAACCCCCGTGCTTCTAATGCCCCTCACTCTTCACCAGCTTCCCATCCAGGGGCATCTCCCAGACTTTGTCCTTGACATTCACGATCTTCTGTCACCTCAGTTTCAAAGATCCAAGTGCCCGCCCCAAGAGCAGAGACCCGGGACATTCAGCTGGTCCTTGGTGGGAGGTCACTGCACCTCTGACCTCTGAGGTGTCCTTTTCCCCTGAGGTTCAGATGCATGTGTTGAGCGCTGCTGTGGGAGTATGATGGGGATGTGGGGGTGGAAAAGAGGGGATAATATTTTCTCCTTTGTGGCTTCTCGTGCCCTGCCTCCTTCTAAACTTATATTTATTTAGCATGAAATTGGCCAAAGCACCATCTGTAGAAAAGCATGGGGACCACAGTCCTGTTCCCCCAAAAGCCCTGTTTCCCCTGCTCTAGAGGAAGTGCTTGGAGATCCTAGGGCGCTTCCTCCCTGGGCTGTGGGTCCGAGCATGAGCTTCTAACGTAGGCTTTCTATGATCCACGGGCATCCTAAAGTTGTATACAAACTTTCGTATGTATTTAGATAGGATTGATTTGGGGGAGGGAGGTCCACGAGTTTCATGAGATCTCATGAAGGTCCAAGACCTGAAAACCTTAAGAATCACTAACTTAGGGAGACACAAAAAATTGTTTTTTCTAGGCAGAGAGGAAGATAACTGGTCTGCAACATCCACCTCACTGAGGATCGTCCTGGTGGGCAAGACAGGCACTGGGAAAAGTGCCACAGGGAACAGCATTCTCCGCCAGCCAGTGTTTGAGTCCAGGCTGGGGAGCCAGCCTGTGACCAAAACGTGCCAGGGCGAGACAGGGACCTGGAACGGAAGGAACATCCTGGTGGTTGACACGCCCTCCATCTTTGAGGCAGAGGCTCAGACCCAGGAGATGTACAAGGACATCGGGGACTGCTACCTGCTCTCTGCCCCGGGGCCCCACGTAGTGCTGCTGGTGACCCAGCTGGGGCGCTTCACTGCCCAGGACACGGTGGCCGTGAGGAGGGTGAAGGAGGTCTTCGGGGCGGGAGTCATGAAGCACGTGGTGGTCCTCTTCACCCACAAGGAGGACTTGGACGGCGAGTCCTTGCACGATTACATCGCACACACGGACAACCAGAGCCTGAGGAGCCTGGTGGGGGAGTGTGGGAGGAGGTACTGCAGCTTCAACAACTCGGCCACCGGGGAGGAGCAGAAGGCGCAGCTGGCCGAGCTGATGGCTGTGGTGGAGAGGCTGGAGAGGGCGAACGAGGGCGCCTTCCACAGCAACGACCTCTTCTTTGAAGCCCAGAGGCTGCGGCAAAGGGGGGGCGGCGCCTGCGGGGAAGGGCACAGACGCTACCTGGACAGGGTGCGGGCGCAGCTGGGAAAGCAAAGGCGACACCTGAGAGACCCCAGGAGCAACCGGGCCTGCGGGGCGCTCCTCAGAGTCACAAGATGGATGTTTTCTTGCGGTGGGATAGCTGTTGTCCTCAGTATATGCGTTTTGATTTTTCTTGCCGCTTTAATTAACTTGAGTATTACTCATGGACACTGAGCATTTGCAGTGATTTCTGCAATCAGCTGACTTATGTTGTCAGAGTCGCCATCTCTGTGTCAGATTCTCTGTTTTTTACATGATTTCACGTTCTTTTGCTCTTCGTCACATCAGACATACTGTCCATTTTCTTCAAGTGCTCTTAGGTCAATAAAATCCAAAGGAAAAATTATTTTTCTGTTTTTGTTTTGTTAAAAATTGTGACGGTACATGAGAAACTAACTGTCCGGAAATGTTTGGGGACGTGCTGGGAGGCAGGTGGTGGGTGGTGAAGCTGTGGGGATGTCCCACCTCTGGTCCCACCTTTGTGCCGTCAGGCTCTTGAGGGGAGACAGGTGTTTTATGAAAAGCCGGTGGCAGATTCCTTATTTTATTCAGAAACATACCTGATTTCATCGGAGTTAGTCATAAGAGCTGATGCCCACCCCCAACCCCATCCCTGGGAGAGAGAATGATGAGGATGGAGGTGGGGGAGAGATCCTGAAGCGAGAAGAGGCCAGGGAACAGGTGCAGGAGGGGGCCTACCATGGTGAGGAAGGATGGGGGCTGAGCCTTAGGAAAAGCAGTCACTGGGAAATTCTCAGTGGTCGGGAAATAAAGGAACTATAATTTCTTAGAGCGGGAGTGGCAGTGCCGGATAGTGAATATTTAGGCTTAAAAATGGTCTATAGTCAGGGCGCCTGGGTGGCTCAGTCAGTTAAGCATCTGCCTTCACCTCAGGTCAGGATCTCAGTGTCCTGGGATCAAGCCCCAGGTCAGGCTCCCTCATCAGCGGGGAATCTGCTTCTCCCTCTCCCTCCGACCCTCCCCCCCCCCCCGCTCATGCTCTCTATCTCATGCTCTCTCTCTCTCTCTCAAATGAATAAATAAAAGATCTTTTTAAAAAAAATGTCTCCAGTCTACTCAACTCTGCCTTGTCAGTGCAAAAGCCGCCATAAGCTGCCTTCCCATAAAGCTTGACAAACGGTGACCTTGAATTTCATGTAACTTTCATATGTGGCCATGAAACATTATTCTTCCTTTGATGTCTTCAACCTTTTTAAACTGTGAAGGGCTTTCGCAGCCCACAGGCTCTATAAAACCCACCGCAGACCACACTGGGTTCACCTGGGAGGTCTATTTCTTGTTTTTGAGCTACATCCTACCTAGTGCAACATCTGAACCTCAAAACCAGTACCATCCAGTTCAATCATGTGTGCTCTCTATGGGAATTTGGGGAAAGGGTCCTGCCAGACATTTCAGTGGTAGTGAAGAGAAGAGGGCAAACCTTGAGGTATAATCTGAGCAGAGGTCATGAATTCAGTGGAAACAGTAAATCAGATGAGAGGGTCTTTGGTGGCCCCTCCCCTGACTTCTTCCTTTTGGTAGCTGCCCCGCCCCTTCCTTCTCTGCTCCTTTGTACCCTGTAAGGGAGACCTGCAGTCATCCAAGGCAGCCTGGGGCTGGATGGGTAAATGCCTAATTCTGGGGTGAGCCTCAGGAACTTGATGTGACACCCAAGTGTCAATCTCCAAACCTCTACTGGGGACAAAGGTACCATGTCGAACTCTACAGGTGTATCACATAACTGACTCCAGACATGTTCAAGGGGTGTTATACGCAACGAATCACAGATCACATCAAAAATTAACGATGTAATGTATGGTGACTAACATAACATAATAAAATTAAATTAAAAAAAAAAGAAGGAAAGATCAAATGTCCAGACTGACACAGATGTTACTGGTAGACCTGGGATGAGAGGGACAGAGAGTCAGAGACAGAGATAGAGGGAGACAAGGGAAGAGAGAGAGAGAGAACAAGCCCTGTTGCCTGGTGGATCCTGGAATATCTTGCAAGTTCTACAGACCATCTCTGACCAATCTTCCCTCCTCTCCTATGCAGCCTCTCCCATTGGCTTCTGGTCTCTTCACACACACACACACACACACACACACACACACACACACACACACACACATTCACACACATGCAGTGAGAGATGAAAAAACCAGCCACAAATTCTATGGAGGGAGGAGAGGTGTTAGACCGTGTCCCTGGGGACAGGAACAACAGGTGTGTCCTCAAAAAGACATCCTTGGGGTGATCCAGAAGCCCTGGGAGATGCCAGAGAAGAAGAGATTTTTGTCTTGTTCTACTTTTGTTAATAGCTCCATTTCTTTCTCCCCACCACATATTTGCAATGGTTTTGCGCAAAACAAGTTCTCTACCCAAGATAGTAGGGAGAATGGAGACCCAGAGAAGCCAATGAACGTCTGGGGCATCCCAAACCAAGCCATCCGCTGCCTTTCCCTGGACCCAAATCTGGTGGTTCTGGAAGAAATAAAGATTTCAAACTGGACATGCATCTCCCCATCCCCGCCATGAGCCTCTCCGGCATAAAGATAGTTTCTTATACATAATTCCAGATGGCAGCAAAGGCTGAGCTTGAGGCAGGTGTCTTGCTGAGATGGTCTCTGGCTCTGCTCTCCTTCTTATTTCTCTGCATATGCCCTGCCCTTGGATTACCCATGCTCTGACCTGAAGGGGAAACAAGGTTGAGTAGGTGTCTTCCCCAGGTGGACTTGCACTTCCACAGAACCAGGGGAGACATCCACCCCAACCCACAGTGTGATTTAGGCGAAGTGACAGGCACTGAAGGCGGGGGGGTCTCTCAGTGCCCTGGTTAATGCCCCTCCTCTGCCTGAATGTACTAGTTCTGCTGCGGAGCACCTGCGTCCAGGGGGTTGAAACACCTCTCTGAAGACATCCTCAGGGTGAGTGGGGCAGAGTTCCTTCCTTCACATGTTTGAATCCAGACTGATTCTTGAAGAAAAGCTATAAGCAAGAAAGTGAGATACAGGTAATTCTTGGTTCTTTGCTTAGTTGAGAGAAGAGGGCAATTGTAACACAGATAACACAATTCACATTTTGCAATGAAAGCCATGCTGGACTTATAAACTACTCTCCCATATTAATACTGTAATTTTCACTTTTCAAATAATAATGCCTATTACACTGAATGAGGTGGATGTCTGCCCTCTTGCTGTGGAGGACAGAAAGGCATGTGTCTAATACATAGAAGACATCATTTTCTGTCACCAGCTAGAAACGCCTCTCATATCTAATTTTTGCCAGGGGGAAAAAAAAAGAGGGCTAAAGATCAGCTCCTCCAAAAAATAATTATTTTTAATAGACATTTATCAACTTGAAACTGCTTTTTCATGAATTTTATTTTATTTTTATGCCTGAATCAACTCACTGAACTCTCAGCATATATTTTGTAAGCAGTTGATACACAAGGAAGGGACATTGCTTGAAAATATCAAATCCATGCAAGCCTTATGAGATTTTCGTGATCAAGGTGAAAACTACATGTTTCGACCACGAAAATCTCATAAGGCTTGCATGGATTTGATACTTTCAAGCAATGTCCCTTCCTTGTGTGGTCGAGGTGAACACGTAGTTGTATGTGCTACCCAGGCTGGTACTCCTGCGTCCCCACCATAGAGAGAAGACTGGATCTTGATCAGCCTACTTTCTGTGCATTAAAGAAAATACCAATTAATCATTGAAAAAAAGAATCTTTTTAAAAAAAGATTTTATTTGTTTATTTGACAGAGAGAGAGATAACGAGAGCAGGAACACAAGCAGGGGGAGTGGGAGAGGGAGGAGCAGGCTTCCCACCGAGCAGGGAGCCCCTTGCGGGGCTCAATGCGGGGCTTGATGTGGGGCTGGATCCCAGGACCCTGAGATCATGACCTGAGTCGAAGGCAGATGCTTAACGACTGAGCCACCCAGGTGCCCCCCCAAAAAAGAATCTTGACTCTGTCTTTAGGTATTTCCTCAGCTGCTCTGTAGACCAAGATGGGATAACCTTCTATTGGGGACAGTTTCCTTTTCCTCTAAACTGCCTCTTCACAGACATGGTTGACTTTTTTTCTTTTAAATTATATGTATTTTTCTTGTTGATTCAAGAAAGGCCTTTAATTTTGATTTTTTAAAACGATTTTATTTATTTGAGAGAGAGAGAGTACAAGCAGGCCGAGGAGGAAGGGGGGAGGGGCAGAGGGAGAGGAAGAAGCAGACTCCCGGCTGAGCAGGGAGCCTGACCCGGGGCTCCATCCCAGGACCCTGAGATCCTGACCTGAGGTGAAGGCAGATGCTTAACTGACTGAGCCACCCAGGCGTCCCCTTTACTTATGATTCAAGAAAGCAAAATATCACCCACTCTCTGTTACATCTGCTAACAATCCTTTTCTGCCCCTTTCTTTTTTTCACTCAGAGTTTATAACCATTTGGTCTCCTCTTTTCTCTCAGCATTAACTCATGGAATTGCAGTAACAGCACTTCAAAACACAGGTGCTTCCAACCACTGGTGAAAGAAATGTCAACAATATGGGGCGCCTGGGTGGCTCAGATGGTTAAGCGTCTGCCTTCGGCTCAGGTCATGATCTCAGGGTCCTGGGATCGAGTCCCGCATCGGGCTCCCTGCTCCTTGGGAGCCTGCTTCTCCCTCTGCCTCTCTCTCTCTCTGTCTGTCATGAATAAATAAATAAAATCTTTTAAAAAAAAAAAAGAAATGTCAACAATAGAGATGGGGGAAATTGCTCCTTTTCTCCTACAGCTACAGAGAAGAACAGCAAATACTGGCCCTACAAAGGAGTCTGTGAGCTATTCAGTGTTTGAAACTTGGAGCTCTGTCCTGTGTTTCATCTCTAAAAGTCTGTAGAATTATGTTTGTCATTCTTAATAATGTGTTTCTCTACTCATGAGATGTACATGGAAATCTAATAATTCCTAACAGATCTAAATACAAGATTTCTTAGACAAATCCAAAGGAGATCCCTGATACTTCCCTCTTCTACTACAGGCATGCAGGTAATAAAATAAAACAAAATATAATAATCAAAGAGTTTGGGAATCTTATCTGGTTTAAATCACAGTGTGCTAAGTAAGATAGGACTGCCAAATGTTGTCAGAGGTCTTGCAAATATCACCCCCTGGTGTTTATCTTAAGTTAGTTATGGTATATTTTAGCTAAGTCTGGAAATTTCAACAAGTGTTTTCTTTATGGCTTCTGTCATTCTTAGAAAGACCCCCCTTACTCCCTTTATTTAAAAATGCATTACTTATGTCCACATGAAAATCTGCACACAAATATTTATAGCAGCTTTATTCTTAATTGCCAAAATGTGGGGGGAAAAAAGATATCTTTCAATAAATGAATAGATAAATAAACAGTGGTACATCAGATAATGGATTATTGAGTGTTAAAAAGAAATGAGCTCTCAAGCTATGAAAAGGCATGAAGGAA